CATTACCTGATGGTGAGCTCCCCGAGGGCAGGGAATTAATTGGTATTTATGCCCCAAACACCCAGCACCGTGTCTGGCACATAGTAAGTGACCTTGTTAAGTTATGTGGCTAAACGAACAGGCCTCTGTGTTGGGAAGACAGGCTCGAGACCCTGTTCTAGGCGGATGTGGAGATTTTCTGCAGTCGATATGTCCTGCTTCTCAGCATGGACAGGGTGGGAGGGGCTGGGCCGGTTTGGATGGACAGAGGATTCAGGAGAAGGAATCGCTGGGATTGAGGCCCTCGGGAACGTGCCATCCTGGGGTTCTCCTTGGCTAACGGTGGTTGGACTCAGGTGCTGTGGAGCCTTGTAGAGGGAACAGAGAGACCCAGAACCCAACTCTGCTTGTGGGTCACAAGCGGGCTGAGGGAAGGGAGGGCAACTCAGAAGGCACACGTCAGCAGGATGTTTTGAAATAACACAGGAACTTGGGTGCCGCGTCCAGAGGGCAGCTGAGAGCTCGGTTTCCACTTGGGCTTCTACACTACTCCATTGCAGTTCTGTGCTGGGCAGGATTCTGAGGATTCCTCTGGGCTATGAGCATGTCTGTAGGGTGTAGGTGGTGCTAGAGTTCAGCACACAGAACACCTCAATTGGAGCCAGGGGACTTGCAGTGGAGACTTGACTCTGCAAATGACTAGTTAGGTGACCTTGGGACAATCCTTAAACCTCTCAAAACCTGTTTCTTCCTGGTACTATGGTGTTCAGTGTTGGTTCATGGGTGCTTACCTCATAGCATTATGGCTAAGATAAAATAAGATATGGATGGGACCGCAAAGCCCTTTGCACTGAGTGGCCCTGATTCTAGCTGGGTCTGTGTACACGTGAGTGCCCAGCATGCCGTCACTGGTGGACAGCAAGCTTGTGGAGGGAGAAGCCAGCTTTTCCCAGAGGGCTGGAATGGAAAGAGGGTGCCTTTGGAGTCAGACAGACCTGGATTTGAATTCTGGCTTCTCTCTGAACTGGTTTCCCATCTGAAATTCAGTGATGATGATCCCTGATTCATAGGGTCATTTGGGGACAAATTATTTCCTTGAAGATGCCTAGGTTAGATCTATAATTTCATTCTTTCAATTGGTTAAAGATTCACTGAGCACTTACTGTGCACCAGACACTTGTAGGCACCAGAGCTGCAGCAGGAAAGGAGCCAGGTAAAGTCTCAGAGCTCAGGGCTCACATTCTAGTTGAATAAGAAATGAAATAGACACGTGTCTGAGTGCTGAGAACGGGGAAGAGGATGAGGGGGAGAGAGAATGCTGGGGGCGTGGCTGCCTTTCCACCTGACTGGTCGAGCAAGTTGTCTCTGAAGAAGCAGACCCTGAAGGAAGTGAGGCAGTGAGTTACCTGGGGAAGAACATCCCAGAAGAGAGTACAGAAGGTGCCCAGACCCTCAGCGGGGAGTGTGCTTGGCATATTTGAGGAATACCATAGGGTCCAGCTGGGCTGAAGCACAGTGAGTCCGGGGGAGCCGCAGGAGATGAGGTCAGAGAGCAAATGGGGGCCACAGCAGATAGCGGCATCTCTTCTACGTGCGCTGAGGCCACTGGAGGGCTTGAAGCAGAGGAGGGACATGGTCTGACTTCTACTGCAAAGGGTTTACAGCAGCCACTGTGGTTCTCGTAGACCACAGGCGACAAAGCCAGAAGCAGGGAGATGGTTGGAGGCCATTATAAAAATCCCGGAGAAAGATGATGGCAGGGATCAGGAGGTGGCAGAAGACGTGGGGAGAGGTGGTTGGAACCAGTTTGGAGATACAGCCAACTAGCTGTGCCCATAGGATGCTGCTACGAGGAGAGAGAGGTTGGGACCCTGAGCAGGCAGGCACGGAGCCTGTTATGGAGATGGTAAGGACAGCGGAGAACACGCCGCTCGGGGGCAGGGGCACAAGTGGAATCAGCAGTTTAGTTTGGATGTGTTAGCAGTGAGAAGCAATGAGACATCTAAGCGCAGATGTCAAGTAGACAATGGGCTAAACCAGTCTAGAAGTTCAAGGGAAAGGTCCAGGCAGGAGGTATAGAGATGGGCTGGAGGCACGCATTTAGGAGAGATCAGCGTGCAACGGCGCTGGACGTGTGGACCTGCCTTCAAATCCGCGTGTTACTACGTTCCTCCTCCTCCCAATTCTCCATGTCAGGCAGTGCCTGGGTGGGTGCCCAGCAGGACGCAGGCTCACAAGAACCACCCGGGAGCTGCACTGACACCTGTTCACAAGAGAATACACAGAGAAGGAAAGAGAGGAATAGTCTAACCAAGAATAAAGGTGCCGAGGGAGCACTGCCCGGGCCTGGGGTATGGATACGAGCCGTGGAACGGGGCTGGCTGCTGCTCCACCAGGCCGTTTCCCTGTTCTGGTGCCCGGACTTGAGCGCACACTCTCCTACCCATCCCCGGGAGCAGGCAGTGAGCTCCTATCAGCAGGCACCATTTTCCTTTGCAAGTGGATCAAGGAAACATTTCCTTGAAAGCCTCAGAGGGAAACTCAATGAGAGGAATAGAAATGCATTGCTGAGGAGGCATCCCAGGCCCCTGCACCCAGGCTCCCTGCTGAAGGGGCTCAGACATTCAGGAGAGAGATGGGAGACTCCCATGATGCTACTGGGAGGGGACCAGGAAAGACCAAAGTGGCTGCAGACAACCCTTTAACAACGGGCTGGCGTCATCCGAAAATACAAACTTAAGCTGCCCTTTGGTCCATCCCAGCACCAAATCTGCCAGTAATACCCTTCCCGCTGCTTCCCAGCCCTGGTGAATGGCTTTTCCCCTGCGGGTGGGAGGAGTATGGGAACTTGCTGCCAGGATCTGCTTCCCTCCACCTGTCTGGGATGACCCTTCAGGCTCCCAGGAATGTGGTTCTTCCTCTCTCTCTAAGGTTGGAGATGGCTGGGATGCATTCTCAGCGCATGATCCAAAGAATTGGTGCTCAGAGGAAGCAGCATCTTCTGCACAAAGATTCCCACATCCTCCCCTGCCGGGCAATGTGAAATGCGGCTTTGCGTGGAAGAAGGTGCAGGCCAATGGCAGGTCTCTCCATCATGGCCACGCTGTAGGGCAGGGCCTCCCGCGTGGAGCGTGTAGACTGCACAGCATGCTTTAAAATTGCTTTGTTTTCATGAATCTTTTACAGCGATTAGTCTAGGAGTGCGCGTGTATATAATTTATACTCAAATGCCTAGGCTGACTAGGTTTTACCTGATGACGAGCTTAATCAGAAGTATTTTGAAGACACACTACTTTTGAGAAGAAAAGCCCAGGGCTAGTGGTAGAGAGTGGCATTTTTTTTCAGGGTTTCTGAGTGTTAGTCTGGTTCAATAATCAACTTGTGGCCCCTTAAAGTAAAGAGCTGAGTTATATACGGGTCCTTGACAAAAAAGTAGGGATGGATCAGGGGCAAAAATTCCTTCTCCATGGCTGTGAGTCAACCAGATGGAAGCTAATAGTGAACAAGGTCTGCTCTGTGACCCCCCTGCAGCCACACACACACACACAAAACACTCTCTATGCATATACATGTACATGCACACATATATGTACATATATTGTAGATAACTTGCAGATATGTTTATGTAGCAATGTCAGTAACATGAAATCCAAAGGATACGTTTTCACACTGCCACGCCTCCTGAGAGAGCCCATGTTGACTGCTTGTTGTGCATCTCTCTACACCACTGTCCTTTCCCATAGATACATACACAATTATACACATTTACAGATTGCTTGTTCTTTAAAAATTATGATTGCTACTTTAATTTCACATTCCTCTGCATTCCTATCTTTTGTTTTCTGTTTAACAGCACATCACAGGCATCCTTCAAGCCAGGAGAGATGCGTCTGGTTCATTCTTTTCACCGTCTGCATCATATTCAATAGTTCGTGTGTATCTTAATTTAGGCAACCATTTCTCTGGCACTTACAGGCATTTGAGTTGCTTACAGTGTTTTGCCACAATAATTGCATCTATCATGACAAATGGTGCTTTTATTGTTGTAACATAGATTCCCCTAAATGAGGTAGATTACCCAAGGGAACAGAATAATCCAAAGGATGTAAGATCCCATTTGGTTGCATTAATGATTCTTTTTTGTTATGAGATTTTTTTTAATGGAGGTACTGGGGATTGAACCCAGGACCTCATGCCTGCTAAGCATGCGCTCTACCACTTGAGCTATAACCTCACCCTCAATGATTCTCTTTTGTTGTTAAAAATTATACTGCCTTATACTCAATAGAGCCAGACAGAGCCCCGCGTTGAGTGTGTGTTATCAGTGTGTGTCATGTGCTGGGGCCACCGTCCCAGGCTGACAACCTAGAGGGCCCATCAGGAGCTACTTGACAAGGAGAGGTGGGCGGGCCAGGGGAGGGTGTGCATGACCTCTTCCAGGCTGAGCCACATTCTACTGAGATCTAGAGATGATTTCTCGGGTCAGAGTAGGAAGCATGTGTCCAGGCAGATAAATGACCTCACAAATTCCTCGCACTTCGCTGAGTCTCCAACAAGCCACACAAAGCTGCTCTTGCCAGGTGTGTGGCCCATGCTTCCCTGAGAAGGTTCGGAAGCTCAGAAACTTGGAAGGCTGGTGTTTGGGTTTCCCTGCCAGGATTCCCCTCATCACCCCGCCTCTCCTTCTCCCAGTCTCCATGGGACAAGCATCCTTCATGGAGCAGGGGTACCCACGACCTGGAACCCTGCAGCTGCGGAGCTCCTGAGTCTGGCTCTGCTCGCAGTTTCCCACGCTGATTCATTCACAGGTGTAACTTGGGGGTGCGTCTGTGTCTGTGTTGCTCCCAACTCAGCAGGTATCTTATTTCTGAACCCCACCTCCCACCACCACCTGCCAAATTCCTTATAGAGCCTTTGCACTTGTAGTTTTTCAGTAATTATTTTGGAAATAAGCAAGTCAACGATTCTTGACCAAGGTCAGACTCAGGTCCAGAGCCACCCCGGAGGCCACCCCCGCCTACCTTCACGGCCTTGGCCCTGTTTATAAGCCCGTCGTCCTGAGAGCTCCCGATGAGCAGATCCGCCTTTGCCCGCGGAGGCCTCTGCAGCGCTCTGGCTGGAGCCTCTCGGAGGTGCTGGCCGTCGACCACAGGACCCCAGTAGTGGAAAGGACCACTCACAGCCAGGAGCTGCACGGGGTGCAAAGGGGTGCTGTTATTTATATGGATTTTAGCCTTTAAAAAAATGGTACTGGCATCATCAGTTGCTTTGCTTCCTCAGGTCTTAGCCGTAATGAACACCGATGTTATCCTCCTGGGGCTCTACTGAGAAATGACCAGAACGACAGGCAGGCAGGACACCAGGTGACAGCGTCAGGGGCGGGAAGCTGAGTCTCCATATCTACTGGGAGGAATGGGTAAGGCTGAGCCTGGTGTTGTGTGAGCCAGGCGGGAGGAGACATTGCCTGAGGAGGGGTGGTGGCCAAAGGCAGGATGTGCCAGGGAAATCCATCAGCTTTAGCCGCTGTCTGATCAGCCCACATTCAGAGGAGCTGAGGATAAGCCCCACTCCAGGTCTGCAAGTCCAGGCTCACTGCCTAAGGGAGTCAGCCACCAGCTCAGACGACGGTTATTCCTGCTAGTTTCCCTTTCAGTAACATCAGGGCCAGCCAGGGACGGGGGGCTATGAGCAGGATCCATACAGCTGGAAGAGGGAGCACACAGGTCTATCTAAGGGGGCATGGTGGCCTCACTCCACTGCAGCTGTGACCATAGCGCTCAGTACATGTAGCAGTGACGTGACTGGGTGCCATCACGGTCCCAGACCAGGCAAGACCCTTTCCTTGGGCCACCTCATTTTCCTCTCCTGGTAACTCTGTAAGGCTCACAGCATCACTCCCATCGTACAGATAAAATGCTATGTGCAGAGAGATCTGTGCACCTCCAGGACCCGTGCGTGATCCATTACGGGCTGTGGCCCACGTACGGCCCTGGCAGTCAGGGAATACGCATTCTAGCTCCAGCTGGTCATCAGCCTACTGTGTGGCCTTGGGATGGGCCCTGTCTCCTTTCCTGGCCCAGTTTCCTTTTGTAAGAGATCAGAGAACGTCCCTCCCCAACTTGCACAGGAGTGCCCACCTTGGTCTGGGCGTCGTTGAGAATGTTGGCAGGCTCCTGGCGGAGGCAGGACACCATCTCTTGGATGGGTGAGGGGGGGCAGCCGACCTCCTTTGCCAAAGCAGCTGCCTGCTGCTGAGCCCTCTCCGGCCTGATGACAGCGGCAGGGGAGAATGCGGAGCCGCCCTGGAAGAGAAGGCAGACTCAGAGCCAGTAGTCTCACTCACGTCCTTCCCCCACTCAGCCCAGAGGCCGCAGGGCCACATCAGGGCTCTGCATCCTTCATCCAGGCTGGGAGTCCCGGGACCCTTCCCGGGAGGCCCACAGGCATGTGGGAGGTCAGGACTGATCGGTGTCATGTCAACATGCTGTGGGATCTTGAACGAGTCTCCCCAGGCCTCAGTTTCCTGTGAGATGAGGGCAGTGGATGCAGTGATCTTCAGTCCTGGCTGTGAACTAAAGTTGTACGTTGAGGCAAAGAGCTGGTTAAACCGGGACAAAGATCAGAACTGTCCACTGGGAAAAGGGCTCTGCAAAAAGCAGACACATCCCACCACCGCCTCCTGGGGCTCCTTAAATAGCAAGCTCTCAAGAACTGTGTCTGCTTTGTCTCCTGTAATTGTCACAAGGATATGGGGGCGGGAGGGACAGCGGCCATCCCCACTCTGCAGACAAGACAAACTGAGGCTCCGAAAGGACAGGAAGAATTTTCATTTATCAAGTACCTAACATGTACCAGGAGCTAGGAGCTTGGCAACAATGATTTTAAGTACTTCATATATATTTACTCATTAAATCCTCTCCACAACTCTGAGATGTAAATGTTATTTACCCCCTTACCGTAGAGGAAAGTAAGGCACAGAGAGGTTCAGTATCCTGCCCATCGTCACACAGCTGGTGGGTAGCAGAGCCAGGACTCCAGTCCAGGCAGCCCACCCCCGGTGGTGCTCTCAACCCCACATTAGGCCCTGTGTGTTTTCACATCCAGAACAAGATGGTGCATCGCATCCTTGAGCTGACCTGTCCCCTCTTGCTCCGATGTAAGCAGAGCACTGATGTGGCTGACTCCGTGGTGGGTGTTCCTATGTGCACCTCCACCCTGAGTTAAGGTACCAGCAGCACGGAGCTCGGTCTCCTCGTACATGAAATGGGTTTACCAGAGGGCGCTGCCCTTTCTGGGTCTTTCAGAGGACCATTGAATTAAAGCAGAAGCAGCATTCTGGAAACTGTAAAGTGAGGTGCCATGCTCACCTGGATCGTTGGTGCTATGACTCATCGTGTCAAAGAGACAACAGATAGATGTGTACAGGGGAGGAGACCCGTCCTCCCAAGTGCCCACTGGATGGATTTCCTGGGATAAGGGAGTGCGTTCCAGTGCTGCCTCCCGGGAGGTCCCAGTGGGCTTTGTGGGTCAAGTCAGGACTGAAGGGTCACCGGCAAAGCACGGGCGTTGCAATGAAAACAGGCTGCCCCAAGGTAGAGAGAGAGCTGAGGGCAGCCCTGGGCAGAGCGGATACCCACAGGCAGCCAGAGGGCCGGGGCCCAGGACTGCGCCTGTCCTCAGGGAGAGTCGAGGCCCCAAATCCCAGGCTGGCTTCATATGCTCACCAACCTCCCTTCTTCCTAGGTAACAGAAGTACTGAGCCATGTGGCCTTTTGGGGGAGGCTGAGATGCCTAAAAAACTCAGGAGCCAGTCTCTGTGGAGTATTTCTGTGTATCCTTTGTATGTGACGGATATTAATTTACTGAAGCCTCACAACCATCCCACGAGGCAGGTGGACTTCTCACCCCATTTTATAGATGAGCAGGTGAAGGCACAGGGAGGCCCTGGTGATCTCCAGCCAAGGGCTTGCCCTGAGCTTCAGGGCAAGGGAGAACCCTGACTCTCAGGCTTAAGCAGTAGTAAAAGTAAAATGCCCAGCCTGCCCAGGGCCTGGAAGTCGGCAGCAGTGGCCGCAAGTGAGGGTCACGACGATTGAGCCCCAGTGTGGAGGCTCCGTGCCTGCGGGTTTACCTTTTCACTGATGAGGGATCAGCTTTTCTGAGAAGCACTGGATGTGCTTAGTCTTAAGGGAAGACACACACACACAAACTCACACACATGCACACACATTCGAGATGTTCAAGGTCAAAGCCCCATGTTTTACATCATCAATTGAGCTGAAAAGTGCAGAGCACGGAGCTGGGTCTCTGAGCCCGGCTTCACCCACCGGTAGGCTGTGGGGAGATGTGGATTTCAGGATGGGGCCCTGCAATGTGTTCTACATTTTCTACAAATAGAAAAAGCCAGAGTCCCTGATAGGGTGAGGAAGTGGTTAAAGGCGTGGGTTTTACGCTGATATCGCAAGACGGCTCGGAGAACATTCCTCCCTGCGAGTACTTTGTTTTAATCGATCTTTCTGAAGGAAACCACATTCTTCATGGAAAATCAGTGGTTATACAAGCCAACGGCTAGCCCAGCCCTCACTCTGAAGCACCTGATTGGAGACAAAGAACCTGGGGGCTGGAGGTGGGGGTTGGGGTGGGAGGAGGTGCAGAGTTGTGAAAAGACCTGAGGCTTTGGGGGCAGAAGGACCAGGTTCAAACTCCAGGCTTGCTACTGGCTGATGAACTAACCTTGGGCAAGTGAGTGACAGCTGGGTCACAGTCTCCCCATCTGTGAATGGGGGTGATGACCCCACCTCACAGGTCACGGTGAGGGTGCCCAGGAAGAGGGGGAGATGGCCTCCGCCTGGTGGGCAGCGATGTTCCTATTGCTCTTAGCACCACAGGGCCCATGGGACTGGCTGTGGGGTCGCTCCAGCCTGCCCTGTCACGCCAGCTGTCCCCAGGCCTTGGCCCGCGCTTTATCTCAATCTGACCTAGCTATCAAATGGCAGTGAGTTTCCACTTGTTTTCTTTTTAACTTTAAAAATAGTGCAGAGCCAAACCACAACTGCTGACCACTTCTTTTTCTCTTGAACATGGTAAAGCATCTTGACCTCAGTCAGCCACTGTGGTCACTTCTGAGTCAGGGCCTGCCCCTGGCCAAGCACAGGCACAGACCACAAGGCTAAGATAGAAAGACATACTCACAGTACAGTCATACACACACATGCTCACGCAGAGACACACACACAGCCACACACACAGCCATACACGGGCACACACTCAAAAACACTCTCACGCAGAGACACAGATAGAAAGACACCCCACATGCACACTAACACACACAAACATACAGACACACTAGACCTCCTTGAAACTGACACCTCAGTGAACCCCTCGCAGGCCTTCCACGGAAAGCAACAAGGAGGGGGTGGTTCCTGTGACAAAGGTGGCCGTCCCAGGAGGGCCCCATGGTCCTTTCTTAGGCGGTCAGTGAGTCTGAGGAGGCGCTCTGGTGGAAGGTGTGGCTTCCAGGAGGTGCGGGCTCCTCATCCCCGTCCCAGCATTGCTCACCCTGCCCTGCCCCGCCTCACACGTGGGCTCCTCGTCCATAAGGGGGATGGTGATGGGTGGTCTTTGCCTCTTGGGGAAGGAGGGGACAGGTGGGAAGCTAGGTAGGCGCCGGCTGGGGCACTGTGTGGAATCAAGGGGTCCATTTATGCAGAGCCCCTGAGACAGCGCCCTGCACGTAGACACAGAAATGGTGGCAATAATTATCATTAAAATAGGGCTCACTATGTGCCATGCATTGTGGGAAAGCCGTACATGTACAGGCTGATTCACACCCCTGAACGCCCCTATAAGGTCGGTACAGTGTGATCAGGACCTCACAGGTGATGAAACGCAGGGGCAGAGATGGGGCCCCCGCCCACGTCTCAGGTCTGGACTGGTGGCAGAGGGATGTGATGGCACCAGGATCTGAACCCAGGCAGGTGGCTCCTTACCAACATGTCCTAACTACTGTGCGTCCTCAGTCTTACGCCTGTGGTCACCAGTCTCTTTCCATCTCTGCACAAATGTGAGGCCAAAGCAATGTGGGAGGTCAGGGCTCTGGGTCCAGGCAGACCGGGTTTTGACTCCCGCTCTGCCCGTTGCCACCTTGCCACCCACCTTCGTCATTCTGAGCTTCCAGCTCCTGACTGGGAAAATGAGGACGTTACGGTGAACATTCGCGGAGATGATGTACAGACTGAACAAGGCAATGGATGTAAACTACCTACCACAAAGTTGTCATTCGGTGAAGTCAGTTGTAACTGTCATGGTGAATATTGTTATCCATGCATTTAAATCCTACAATTTGACTTATTATCATGGCCTAAAAAACTCAATTAAACCCATCGTTACAAACTAAGTGACAGGAAGCAAGTCCCCTGTGATCTCTGCCTTGGAGGCCTGCTCACGCTCACTGCCCACGTTTTTGAAAATGTGGACTATATCCAGCAGAACACACATATCAGTGGCCTCAAGACAAGGCTCTCTATCATCAGGGTCAAGAGAGAGCCAGGATTTCTCATGCTTTGAAAATTCAGAGTGGGGAGGGATTTCTGAGCAAGAGGGTGGTCCGGAGGAAGCTATACAGAAGTAGGACTTGAGTGAGCTTTGATGGGAGGAAATGATTAGAGAAAAGGAAAGAGGGCAGGTGGCCACTCTTGGGGGACTGGGCAGAGATGGCAGGTGAACCCAGGGGTCTGATGCCCAAAGGAGCCATAGGGGACAGGTGCTGGCTTCAACTATCTCAGTGTCCCCAGGACAGGACTTGGAACTCAGGAAAATATGTACTGAATGAGTGAGCCAGTGACTGAGTAAGTGAATGGACAGATGGATGGATGGATGGACCAATTAATTCTCCTGAGTGAAGAAAGGTGTGTGCATAGAATGGTGGTGAGGAACAAAGTTGAGAAGGCATTAAATCCAACCTAAGCAAGAGATGCAATTAGAAGGTAGGAAATCCCGGGGTACTATCCCACAGGCAATGAGGAGTCAGTAAAGGCTTCTTAACTGGATGCTACAGAAGGTATTTCAGAAACGTCATCGAGTCATTTGTCTGCGCATCATAGCGCTGAAAATGGTACATAGCACCCAGTAGACTCTTAGCAAAGGAGCATCGAAGTCTCCTGAACGTGAACTCCTGACGGCAGAAGCTGGGATGGTTATTCCTTTACCCCCAAGAGCCAAGCACAAAGCTTGCTGCATAGAAGTCCTTTGCTAGACACTGGTGAGCAGAATGGAACTCAAATGAATGGCTGGGTGGTGGATT